TAAATTTTATAGTTTATTCACATTCTTATACTCTTTCAAATATTTTAGGATGTTAAGACCGACGCTCAAATGATCAAAGTTTTGATTACAAAATTTACTTATCATATTATGAATTGTAACATAAAATATTATAAATAAAATATTTTAGGTGTCATTAGTATGTTTAATTAGTTTTAAAACATATATATAAAGATAAGCATAAACCTGATTAATAATTAAATTGATTAAGGGTTAATGGTAAATGTTTATTGTTGTAGTGGTATATATATGGCACTCGTAATTAAATCCATTTTTTCTTCTTTATTGAAACTAGAAAAACGAAAGCAACCTACAAACACAAGGATGTAAATGAATTGTGTAACACCCCAATTTAGGGGCTAAATTTAAGAAATTATAAAGTGGTGAATTTAATTGGTATTTTTGGACGAAATTGGGGATTAAATTGTAAAATCATAAAGTTGGTAGACCGTTTTAATAAGTATAGGAAGTTCAGTGGCTAAACTCTTGGTTTAACCATTTTTATTTAGGAGATGATACATACCCCATCCCCGTATGCTTCTGGGATTTTTTTTTTCAGATTTTCCTTTTCATCAACCCTCTTTCAACTCCGATCTACTCGCCGTCCGACCTCCGATCGACGAGCCGAAACCACCATCGTGTTCGTTGTCGAGCGAGGAACAAAACCCTTCAAACCTTTCGTCGTGAATCATCTCTGTTCGTCGTTAATTTCAGTCGGAATTATCGTCGGTAATAACTCAGTTTTAGTTGGTTTTTCATCGATTCACGACGATCCGATGATCCGTTTACGACACCTCCCGCATCATCGTGTTCCTTGTGCCGTTCCGAGTCCACCGGTGTTCTCCTTTTTCTCCGGCAGCGGTGGTGCGTGTGGAGGTGAAGCGGTCAAAGTTTCCGACGTTTCAAAATCGAGCTCTCCGCCGTTCAAAAGTGTAAACCGAGCTTTGTAAGTATCTCGAAATCGCTCAAAATAATTTTTAGAAATTTTTCTGTGAATTTTACGCTGCCGGAACAGTTCCCACGCGCCACCACGCTCCGTCACTGCGAGTGGGGATAGTCCAAATGACTGGTTTGATCGGTTTTGGTGAATAGTTGACCGGTTTGACCGGTCATAACCCGACCCGACCTGTTGACCCGATCCGTTGACCCGTTGACCGTTGACTCGTTGACCGGCGTTGACCAGTGTTGACCAAAACTTTAACCGGCTTTGAACGGGCATTAAACGACCTTTAACTTCGACCGAGTATACCTATCCCGACATTTTTCGACATTCCAAATCCGATTCCGCTGTCCGTTTTTCGAAATTCGAACTCGAAGGCCTCGAAATTTCCGGTCAAACCCGTTGACCTTGATTTTGACCAAAAATTTCAAATTTCCGAAAAGTCATATTTTATGTTTTCGACGTCCTAAATCCGAATCCGAAGTCCGGTTTGCCAAATTCGAACCCGGTAAGCCGTCTTTCACTGATTTATCACCCGATTCGATCCGTTTATCGCAATTAAGCTACGTTTCTGATATAATTTATGTTGATATGTATCTGAGGAATTATTGGAAGTTGAATTGAAGATCAAAGGCATTCGAATGAAATTTTATGGTCGATCAGTATTGCACAGAAATCGAGGTAATACTTTACTACCTCTTTATGCTTTATGAAACATGTTGATATTGGTAAATGCATGAATAAGATAATGTTGGTCACTTTTGTGGAGTTGAATAATTTATTCACTCGATATGAATGTGGTAGAAATTCTGTAACCGAATACGGATCGAATGACTAATATAAGAGATTGAAAGATTGTTAGAATTAAATTACAAGTTTATGAATAGTGATAAAGAAATCAGACATGGATTTGTAAATTATATTTTATATCATCAAAGGTTAAATGTTAAAGGTACTTGGATGGGAAATTATGAGAATACTTCGGTATGGTAAAAATACGAAATTACCCTTATATTGGAAAATGATAAGAATTGTCCCTGGAAGTGGATTAATAAATCTGAAAAGACATATTGATAAGATAAATATATTGATGTGCATAAGAAATGATAGTTATACTTAGAAATTATGGATAACCGGTTTTTAACCCCAAGAGGATTTATGCAAGATACTAGAAGTGTGTTAAGGGAATTATTTCAAGATCAGAGAGTGTTCAAGAAAGCAATTAATCATAGGATCTCTAAATTATATTATTTTCGTTAAGAGCTAATATCGAACTTATCTGGTTAAGAAATTACGGAAATGCCCTTAAGAGGTAAAATAGTCTGAGATGACTCTGAATGAGAAAATACTTAGAGGATTTGTACTTAACTCGATTAAGTACGAATTTAATTGTTAAGATCCCACTTAGTGCAGGAAAATTCCTGATATTCCGTTTGTAAAGTCTAAGAAGACACTTGACCTGAAAATATTCAAATAATGAGTAAATACTGGAAGAGTAATTTATCGGGGGTATTCTGCTGTCAGAATTGTTCGAAAGGACTGAAGTAAATGATAAGATTGAATTAAATAATAAGATCGGATGGAAGGAAAAGATTGAAATACCATAGATCTGTAAAATGACCAAAATACCCCTGTAATGGAATTGACCTAAGAATATCACCAAGCTCAGAAATGATTGATATCCTCGAGCTCTGAAATGAATGGAATAAAACTGAATACCAAAATTTACAAAACAACCTTATGGTCTAAACTAAGTAAATGTCTTGGATCAATTAAGGAATCCAAGTAAGCATAGGTATTGGACTACCTTTAAAGGTAATGGAAAACAATTTAAGTGAGTAGATCAACCCTAAAACTATGTCAATACCTGAATGGCATCGATATTACTGGAACATGTGTTCGTCTTCTCAAGTTTGGCTCGATGATAAATTTTAGAAGTATTCAGCTCAGCTCTAGATTGTATTCAGTACTAAGAATTGGACGTTTGTTCGACAATCAACCACGAAGACCAAATTGAATGGAATGGAAGTACAACATGTATCTGAAATTCAGGAACGTTTGAATTACTCTGGAAAATCCTGAAGTAACTGGAATGGAGATGACTGCTAAATGAAATAGGTAACCTCAATGACTGAGGATTTAGTAAGTGATTTGGATAAGTCTGGAAACTCTGATGAGTTTACGTAGTGTACAATTACAATGGGTTATGAACAAATTAATCAAGTACGTCAGCATTTCATGATATTGTGGAAGTGTGGAAATGAAATAAAGACATTGAAGATCTATTCAACGATGATTCCGAAAATGGTCTATAGACAAGAATTGTTGTATTAAAGAGTAAATACCCTGAAAGAACAATGAATTGATCAATCGACAGGCATTAGTTCTGGGAACTATTCATGTAAGAGTTGTCTGATAATCCGATTAATCGACATAGAATATAAATGTCCTGAACCTTCATTTCTTCCTTATCAGCTCAAGTCACATTCTGAATAACTGATGATTCTGTCAGTCATTGAACTCTTCCAATAGTGATTCTGAATTCCGATATTCTATCGGTATACTGAAGATTCGTATTCCTCTACTTGTTAAGATTATCCAATATCTTTGAATACTATCTGTAAATTCTGGTGTGTTCCCTACTCACATGAATATTTTATCTGATTTTCGATTTGAATTCTGATCTGATACTTGACATGGATTCTGATATGATATCTGACATAGATTCTGATATGATACTTGACTTGGATTCTGATATGATACTTGACCTGGATTTTGATATGATACTTGACCTGATTTATGTTTTGATTTTTGATATATCCGTTTACGGACGGACATATTTTACTTGGGGGGTAATGTTGGAGGAAGTATACCTGGAGGCTCCTCGGCTGTGTGCTCAGGGTCTTATTTACCGGTTTCTCGGCTGTGTGCTCAGGGCCAACTAGACTTGATGGTGGGTGTATGGTTCTGGGGAACCTACACAATCTGGACTTGTTGGATGGGGATATATATATATATATATATATGTTTTAAAAGATCTGTATTTTTTTACTGGTTTTATGGGAACACACTAGAAAACCTATTCTGATCTCTTGAACCTAGACATCCGAAATATTTCCATCTGAAATTAATACTATTTGTTACTACCTGAAATATTCGTAGAATCTCTGCTCAGTGTAAAGATCTGTAAATGTCTGAATCGATAAGGAAAAATATGTTTATTTGTATTTACACGTTCTTTAGCATCATCTGGTAGTTCTGTATTACTGAGCTTTCCAAAGCTCACTCTATTACTCACCTTTTCAGGTTAAAAGAATTGTATCAGTGCATCTATCGACTTCAGTAAGGGAGTTCTTCCGGCGTTGTTGCAAAGTATGGTACATGTGATTAGGGGGCATGTAATTGTATTTTGATTTATATACGAGTTTGGAAATCTGTTTTATTTTTAAATAGTAAAAACTGATTTTATAAGTTTACATGTTCTGATAAAAAGTTTTAAATTTTTCGCTATTTTTACAGTGGGTCGCTCCGGTGGCCCTAATGTGACACCCCGAATCGGATCGGATCCTCCGCATCGGTCTGGGGGTGACAAATTGAACGTTTGATAAATTGTTTGTATAATATTCATTTATATAGTAAATGTTTGTATAATTAAATTAATTAAGGGTTTATGTTCATTTAATAAATAAACGAACACAAATAAAGATATATTCAGTTCATTTACTTTCGTGAACGAGCTCGTTTATATAGTTTCCATTTTCTTTCTTCTTTTAATATTTTAAATATTGGTGAATGTAGGGACTAAATTGAGCACATGGTAAATTTTGTAGTTCAAATTGTGAAACTTAAACAACATAAGAACTAGTAGCATAATTTCTCTATTTTTCTGAAACATATAAACAAACATGTTTATGAACATTAAACGAACACGAACAAGACATTACAAATTTAAACGAACATAAATAAAATATGAACAGTACAACTTTAGATGAACCCATGTATAGTTCTCTTGCTGTATATAGTTATAAGATGAACATACTTTTCAGACACCACAATAAGGTCGAATATCATACTGGGGATATCGACCAATATTAGAGAAGCCAAACCCCAAGTATTGAGCATAATCAAAGGGTTTATAGAGCAATGGGTGTTCTTCATCCACGAGCTCCTCGGGTGCCTTTATCATGTAACCTAGTTTAGGGAACGAAAACAGTCCGATGGAGTACCTCGGCTTGTCGCCGCTCAGCATCACGCGGTGACAAGTGGCCTTCAATCGCCCATTCAACCATGCATGCAACATCATATATTAAACCAATCCATCCTTTGCATATATAAAAAATCAACTAAAATAGACTTACATGGAGACATTCCCCAATGACGACAATAAAAGAGTGTTTGGAGGGTTCCCACTCGACCCATTCTCCGGTACTGCTCTGAACCCCGAACCCGTTAACCTCATTTTGGTACAATATGGTCAACATGTTTATGTCTGTGTGAGCCTTTAACCCAACCTGCTTTTCAATGGTTTGTGGCCCTTTATATTTAGTTACCTTAACAAGGTAGCCACTGGAGTCCATGTGCTCATCCATGTATTTCTCAACTTGGAAACTCTCCATTATCATTCTTCTTACAGTTTGATCTAACTCCTTCAATTGCTTTGTGTATGATTGTATACTTTTTCTGTCAATACATACAGATATTATACGACATTTTATTATAAAGAGAAATTACAGGAAAACTAAGTATAAAAGGGGAGTTTTGAACCTGAAATTGGTGTTTCCTTGAGCCCAAAATGTACGAGTCTGGGCTTCAATGTTTTCAGCAACGTGTGGATCATCAAAGCCGATGCTCTCATACAATGGTGCATGAGGGCGTTGGCCCAGATAACCATGGTAAGGTAATTCGCAAACATTTCGAGTTTTGATTTCCAACGGAAGATCAAAAAGCTCTTCCATGGCTCCAAATATTGTTTTCCTAATCTCTGTAGGGATCTTGTCGAACTTAGCCTCGAAGCAACCGAACTCTTCAAGGGCTCGTTGGACTTGCCGTTTCACCGAATCCCACTCGTCGGTTTTAGGTCCGGCATACTGAATCGATGACCGGAAGCTTAGAGGGAGACTGTGAGCACATTTCTGATCTAAAAACGTACAGAAATTTTTGTTGGTTTGAAGAATTTTCATGTAAATGAACCTATCATATAGTGTTTATTTATTTTTTGATAATCATTCCGATATTATAACAAATATAATAAATTTTATTTATTTAAACTATTTATTATCTCTATGTTCGTCGTAAAATTTTTCTTTAGATAATTGTTACTATTTTTTGTCTCTGTCAAAGGAAATTTATTATCCACAAAGGCCAGTAGGAACAGTGGGGTAAAGACTCAAAACCATACAGCACAAATCAATAATAAAGGCCAGATGGAAACAGCAAACGCATCCAAAAACAAAAAATACAGAGCCTAAATGAAGAAACCAGCAACGCAAACATAAACAAGCCAATTAGGACACCATCACCGTTTAAAATACGAAGCACCAGAAACCATTATCAGTATCACCACCAAGCTTGAAACATACCCTGATCATGATCAACTCCCACCTTTGCCGGTGTCTGCCATTCCGTTGTTTTCACAATATATGTTCACAAACACGACATTAAACAGTTTTTGCAGTAGATCGTCAAAACCAAGGATTTACACCAAGCAATTGCTACCCCATCAGGTGCTTGTAAAATTTTTATCAACCATAAGTTTCTTTACTCACATATAATAATTTGCTTTCTTATGAATCAAACAATGATAAAGGGATAACAATGTAGCCCTTCATTCCCCCCCCCTTTAATTCAGCATCTGTATTTCTTATATGCAATAATCTACTCTGAGTTCCATAAGCTTAAACAAAGCACTACAGTAATAGCAATAGTCTAGGTACAAATCATCAAAGACAGAGCAGGTGTATTGCAATGTCTCAACACATTATTTTAGAGTTGGAACTAAATGGTAAATAACATACCGAAGTAGGGAAAGAATCAGAATTTCTTAATGAAGTCGTAAATGTGCATGCTGATCTCCTCGGGTTTTTCTTGGTTGAGAAAATGGGCAACTCCATCCATGACAACTAGTTCCTGCAAGAACGGCACATCTTTCTTGAATCCACCATTGTGTATGTATTCCTTGACACCAGGTACGTGGTAGGTAACATCCAGGTCCCCTACGATGAATTTGACTGGTACTTTGATTTCTACTCTGGTCCATGGTGCAGTAAGTTCCCAGTTTAGATTCATAGCTCGATAATAGTTCAGTCCTCCGGTGAAACCCTTCTGATTAAATTTGCTAGCAATGTAATCGACGTCTTCTTCTGAAAGCCAAGATGGCAAGGGCTTGGGATCAGGCAACCCTCTGTACCCTCTTTCTTTAGGTATACGGGGCGGCTTTGGATTGCGAGATGTAAGAAAAATCTTAATAAGTTTTTTGGTGTCCACCTGAGCAAAATCGTCTTCAATCTCCCCAGGTTCCTATTAAGAGAAATCAAGAGAAAGTATTTCAGATATCCATGAATTTAAATTAAAACAAGCCATATATATACATACACCCTCGATTGAAACATTCATCCTCAAGGTCAAGGGTAACGACATTCGGCTTAATCGAAATTTCGAGTGCAGGGTTGACAATAGCATACTTCATTAATCACACCTCACAGTTCATTCATCATAAATAGATATATGATTCTATAGGAATCATTCAAGTCAGCCCAAAACCTGAGTTTGTCTACTTAAATGTTAGTAGTTGGGGGATTCTGTTATCTTAAATGTTCAAGACAGAGCCTATAATAGTTTCCTTCAATTAACAAAAACAGATACAAGCGAACCCAATCAACAAAAATCATTCTAATGACTTACAATTCCAAATCGAGGAGAAATCATGTGGTTGAATCAATTACCTGGAACCTGCAAATATAGTAATCGTCGCCAAACAAAGCCCTGAGCCCTTCCACGGGCTTGACCTTAGGGTTCCAAGACCGAAACGCAACGCTCAGATTCACCAGAGCCTTTACTCTATCGGGCCTGAACTGGCAAAAAGACCAAGCTATCATCGCACCCCAATCATGTCCGACCAAAAATACTCGGTCAACACCGAGAGCATCGAGGAGGCCCACGAGATCCCCCACGATGTGGAAAACGGTGTACGAAGCCGCGGAAGAGGGAGCGTCGGTGTCGCCGAACCCACGGAGATCAGGAGCCACGCAACGGTAGCCGAGGGACGACAGTGAAAGAAGCTGGTGGCGCCAAGTGTACCAAAGCTCCGGGAAGCCGTGCAAGAAAATAATAACCGGGCCAGAACCAATCGATGCCACGTGCATGTTTATGCCATTAGTGGTCACTGTGGTGTGCTCTATCTTCTCCATGTTCGCTTACAGTTCAGGTAATGAGTCCAGGTTTTGTACTGAAAGTTTCAGTTCATATATTATGTACAGGTTAGTACAGTGAAGACCCTATACTATATAAAATCTCATTTTTGGGACATTTTTGTTTGACTGCAATTAACTCTACATAAATTTGAAATAGATCTTAACCAATAAATGATCATGTGTTCCCTGTACATACGTGAATCAAAGAGAAAATATTTGGAAGATCACAAAATACTATGCTCTTCACACATGTAAGATAAATTTTATCTTACAAGATTATTTAAAAATAGATTCATATAATATGTGCATACGTGAAGAATATTAGTTAAAAAAATAAAAAAATTTAATCTTTGTTGTATCTATTAAAAAGTATAGGGTATACAGAAAATGAATCAAAGTGATTTCATAAACCCTAAAATACAATGATTGTGTCGAAACCCAATACACATATAGGCCTTATTCCAATTACAACCCAACCGAATTTGGGCAAAAATGCAATTGTGAATGTCCCATGACAATTAATTCCGTATAGAAAGAAATGTAACCCCATGAATAATGTGGACCGCTACGCCGTAGGTCAACTCGGTCACCGTATCCCTTTTCTCTTCTTTTATTTCTTTTAAATAATAATTAGATTAAAGTTTAATTAATCATGTGATCTAGTAAAAGAATTATTATTATTTCTTAAGATTATGAATTTGAGCACTACAAATGTCATAAGTGTGAGCGTTTAATGTCAAATTTTTTAGAGTCCTTTAAATATATATTACATTGTACTTATCTCAAATTAATAAAAAAATTATAACTTTTTAAAATTACTTACTTATTTGTCTAAAAAATGTATAAAAAATATATGTATAATTTATTTACCAACGAAATAATTTGATTCATACAATTTTTTTATAACAGTCCGTCCTAAAATTTTATTAAATATTTACTTTATAAAACTATTACATTAGTAATATATATAAAATCCATCCTCAAAAATATTTTTACACCTATCACTTCAACCATCCTTTAAAAACTAAATTCTACCTTTTCTTAGATTTTCCCCTTTAATTATCAGTCCTTTCGATAGAGTAATATGAGTTTTGGTGAGTAGATGCATGTTTCGGTGCTAGGCTATTAGCTACAGTATCCTGTACCCTACTTTTATTTGTATAAAAAACAAATAAAGTAACAGGTGTGCATAAATATCAACTAAAAATAATTTAAATTGTATATAAATAAATATAATTTAATTATTGGATTTATATTCTTTCATTAACTGTAATATTTTACTTGTTAAATGTAAGAAATATTTATAGTTCGATTTAGTCTTTTAAATTTTGTGAAAAGTTGTTAAATTTTTAGTTTGATTAAGTATTCAATCCATTATTCTGGATCGAATTTTGTAGAGTCATTATAGGACAATTCTCTCAGCCCAATTTGCTTTATTTATAAATATTAAAATTCAAAATTCTTAATTTTATTTAAAAGATATAATATTTCATCTCATTAAACTAACTGATTATTAGTTTGTTTGATTAATTTCAATTATATATTATGAAAAAAATACTTTTAAACATTTCAATAAATTGCACCACACTTCGTTCAATTATGACACTCATTTTAAATTAGTCTTTAAACTTTTAAACTTTCTAATTTCATCCTTAAACTATGACTATTATTCTAGATTAGTCCTCAAACTTCTGAACATTTCAATTTCATGCCCAAAGTATGATTTTCATTCTAAATTGGTCCCAAACTTTTTGAACATTTCAATTCCATCCCAAACTATATGTATATACCAATCACATCCATTAATAAAACCATTAGGCCAAGTTATGTTATTATATGTTTGGAATTTTTTTTAGGTTAAACTATGTTTAAAACTAATTACATTTTTTGATGAATTTGAAGATAAAATTAGAAGATTCAAAAGTTTGGGGACTAATTTAAAATTAAAATCATAATTTGGGGATGAAATTAAAATATCAAAAAGTTTAAGGACTGATTTATAATGAGATTCATAATTTGAGAATGAAATTGAAATGTTTAAAAGATCAATTTGAAATGAGTGTCATAGTTTAGAGACATATTATGAAATAAACCAAAATTAAAAAAACAGAAGGTTCCAAACTTGTGTTCATTGAATAGTCCCTAAGGTGGCGTGTAACAACCCGATTATTTACAAAATAGTATTTAATTGAAATTGGAGGTTAATTGTGAAAATTGGCGAAAATTTAGGGACTAAATTGAAAGATTTTAAAACTTGGAGCTTGTTTTAGAGTTAAAGAAAATTCAAGGATTAAGCCCTGAATTTAACCAAAAAAGTTAGGTAAGTTTGGGGTTATATGTTATATATGTGTGGTTTCTGTTTCAAAAACAGAAAACCACACTCCTAAATTCCATTCCCCGACGCCGGTTTCCGACTTAGATCCCGACGTCGTCCGAATTCCGATCGTCGTTTTGAAACCACCGTTGTGTTCATCATCGAGCGAGAAACAAACCCTTCAAATTAATTGAAGCGAAACGTTGCCAAACGTCGGGAATTTCCAGTCAAAGTCTCGACGTTTTATTTAGCTCAATCGCCGGGAAAATCTCAAATTCATCACCGATCGTTCCTCCGTTTACGACACCTCCTGCACCATCGTGTTCCTTGTGTCGTTGCGAGTCCGCCAGTGTCAACCTTGTTCGCTATCGACGGCGGCGCGTGAGGAGGTGGAGTAGTCAAAGATTCGGCCGAGTTAAAATTCGAGCTCTCTGCCGTTCAAAAATTTGAACCGATCGTTGTAAGTATCTCGAAATCGCTCAAAATAATTTTTGGAAAATTTTCCGTAATTTTTAGACCCCCGAAGTGGGTCTCACGCGCCACACGCGCCGTCGCAGGGAGAGTGAGCAGCTGGAAAATCGGTTTTGACCGATTTCGACCGGTTTGAATCGGTCTGACCGGTCTGAATCGGTTTGACCGGTCTTACCCGACCCGACCCGACCCGACCGTTGACTGTTGACCGTGACCGTTGACTTCCTTTGACCAAAACTTAAAATGGCTTTGACCGACCATTAAACGACCGTTAATCTTTTCCGAGTATACCTGTTCTGATAGTTTTCGACGTCCTGAATCCGTTTCCGAAGTTCGTTTCGTCAAATTCGAACCCGAAGGCCTCCATATCGACGGTCAAAGTGGTTGACTTTGACTTTGACCAAGAATTTAAATTTTCGAAAAATCATACTTTATGTTTTTCGACGTCCTGATTCTGATTCCGTAATCTGTTTGACTAACTTCATACTCGAAATCCTCCAAATTGATAGTCAAACCCTGAAAATACTTATATACTTAAGAATTTTAGCTTTGAATAATTAAGTAAGATTTGGGGATGATAAATTATTATTATTTAAAGGTATAAGAGACTTTCCGGATCGTTCGATAGCTTGACCCAACTCTTCTAGATCAGTTAAACCACGTTCGAAAACTGTAGCAGAGCGTGGTGAAACCAGCAATCAGTAAATCTACTATTTGAACCTATTATCGAGGTGTGTTCCCTAATTATTACTGAACTATTTTATTGGTTTTAATATGAGGTACACTGAGTTCTTTGGTTACTGTTTTATTGATGCACCAATTTAATGTGATGATTTATGGAATTTGTGACACAGTGCAATTGAACTTTTGGATTGAATTACAATAGTATAGCTCTGATCAAGCTAACAAACAGAATGGGCCTAATGTGACTCTTGGGGCCCCAAGATACATTAGGTTGGCTTCCCTTGTTGTGTTCTTAGGGTAAGCTATATGGACTTGGACTTACGGGCCTAAGGATACAAGCTCTAAAGCTTATCCATAGGCTGGCTTTCTTTTTGATGTGTGCTTAAAGTAAGCTATATGGAAAATAGTTTTGGGAACTACTGATGGTGTACAAGAAAAGGGTTTAAACTATTATTTTCAAAAGTTAAACTCTTTTATGAATTTATGAGATTTACTGGACTATGATTTGTTTAATATACCTATTGTGATTTTAAGGTAATATTGGGACACACTGAGCCTAGCTCACCTTTCGAAAATGTTTTTTTTCCTTTCAGATACTGTTGGTTAGATATCTCGGTTCGAGCACTTGGAGGATCAACATATCTGATTGTAATGTTTTATCTTGCTAGTTGACTTTATTTTGGTGACATGGACCTTATTTTAAAGTATCGTATTTTAGTATGATGACACTTTTACTATTACTATTTGGTTTATTGTGATTTTGATTTTGAAGACCTGTTTTAAATTAATTTATTACTTATTGGTATTATATTTACAAGTTGGGTTTTGATAGTATAATATCATGTCATTTATAATGTGATTTTACAATGATTGAATAACGGTTTCAGAAAATGTCTTTAAGAATCATGTATGTGATCCACTAGACTTAGTCGAAACGTATAGGCCGGGTCTAGAGGGTTACATTTATTGGTATCAGAGCCAGGTTTTTAACCCTCGGACTGTGTATGAGTCCATATTGAAAATACTGTTTTGAAATATTTTACAAAACAAGTTACAAAGGCCATGTCACAAAATTATTAAGATTTTTAAATTGTGTTCGAGACTCCAAGTGCTTATCTAACCCTAAGTTTTATCTTCTGTAGTAAACTTGAGATCCATCAAAATGAGTGCTAAACGTGGTCGTCGAACTAGCCGTGGAAGAGGTCGAGTGGCTAGATTTGCAGATTCGATTGATGAGATACGGGTAGATCCCCCACCTCCGATAGGTGATCCTGCTCCTACGACCCCAACGAATCTGCCTCATGCCGCTGGTATTGGCATGACTACACCGATCATAGGAGCGACCGATATTGAGTCAAAGTCTATCGGAGTTGCTTTGGATGAGAATTTTAGTAGATAATTTATGCAGTTGATACAGGGAGCAGTTAGAGCTACTGGTGTTGTATCAGAGGTTCCTATTTCGCAGACTTTGATTGCCAATGGAGTTAGAACTTTTGGGGGACAAATTGGTGAAGCTCTTACTGAAGCTGAGGATTGGCTCCAGAATACAGAGAGACG